GCATGTGTCACATTTGATCTCAGCCTCTTTCATTTTAGGTCTTTCTTTGAAATCATTCCTAAGCCATCACTTCTCTGGAATGACATCATCGCTGAGCACTGTGCTGTGGTGAATGTATCCTATATCCCCATGAACAAAGGTCCTTTTTATTCTTATTATCTTCCCAGCTATATCATGAATGTTAGCGTTAGATTCATGACATTCTTTGTGCAAAATCTTAATATTTGTTTTGTTTTTGCTGTTAGTTGCAGATCTTCTACACTCTTTAGTCAAAACTCCCCATCCTGGGTTAATTTTTGTCACAAGTAATTGTGCTCAGAGAGTACATCCTGTTAATGATAAATTTGAAAGACTCTGTTTGTTCTCCAACTGCAAATTAGCTGGACATGATTCTGAAGGTCTTTCAGGCGAACGGAGGCCTGTTTGACGTCATGTATCTTCTTCGCCCTTTGGCCTATATTTATTACCAAGTATATCAGATTTGGCATTTTAGCTGGACGTTTTCTGGTTTGTGATTTCATATTTCATATCAGCTTTGTGTGGTATCTCATCAGTCAAATTCAAAATAAACAAAAATCGGCACACTGCCACTTCTGCTCCCAAGGATTTATTAAAATGAACAACGTTTTGACCCAAAGGGTCTTCGTCAGGCAGGCAACAATCATAGAAAGGTACAATTTATATCAGTGTGAGCCATCACACCTGACCTCATTAGTGAACTAATTACCAAATCATCCAATGCAATAATGACCTAATCAAATACAAATGTAATCACTAAAGCATAAAAAAACAGAAAAACAAACTACAGAAAAATTTCAGTCAAGAACAACAGATGAGCACCACCTTCAATTTCTCACAATTCCCCAAAGCTTTGGTTAGTGGGCAGATTTCTTCATAATAATGACTTGGGACGTCATACAGTGAGGTTGTATTTAATTTTTTTCTGAGCTCAGTGAAGGCACTGTATTCCCCATCTGGCCTGACAGGTTTTGTTATGATCAATCGGGCGGCTATGGTGAGTCAGACAGCTCTACTTCCTCTCTGTTGTGAATCAGCCCAGGATCATATTCAATTCTGCGTTGTGCATGAAGGACTAGTCTTTTTAGTTTGTAAAGGGCTAAAGTTCCCTACTTTCTTAAGAAGTCTTCTCTCAGAAGTACAGTATAGTGTTGCCTTCTCTTTACAGTATAGTGTTGCCTTCAGTTGCAAGCAAAACAAACCACACCCTGTTTTTATGTTTCAGCTCATATCCTATGTTATCAGTAATCTTTGAAGCTAAGTTTACCCATAAATCCTAAGTAAGTCACAGACAGCTTCTTGGTAATATTGTGAAGTACCTACAAATATGTTTGAAGGTCTAGAATGACCCTACTTGATCAGTGAAAACTCTGAACCTTGAAACCAAGCTGTCAGTCACAAGTTACTATCCCAGCAGAGCTTTATGACGTTGGGATGGAAATTGCTGGGAGGTATCGGTCAAGCTTTCCAATGAAAGCAGCTCGTAAGAGTCCTTGAGGGGCTCTTGTGTTATAATTGGCCTGTCTGTTGTGGAGAGCAACAGAGGAGATGAACGATCTTTTCCACGTTCTTACCTCACACACGTAGTGTTGTTCAAGCACGCCTAGCTTTCATAATATACATTATGGTATTTTTTTCTTGTTCCGTTGCCATTCCTTGCAGACATAAACAGAGTTATGAAACTGTAATTTGTAGAAGGAAGTTTAGGAGAGCATTGAGGGTTAAAGGACAATGTTTGATTGGCGTATAAAGGCATGTGCACATTTCCATGTGAGACGATGTTGTAACTTGTAATTAAAATGAAAGACACCCATGAGTCATATACCTGCATCAGATAACCTCATGAACTGTGCTGGTTGCGAAAACATTTAGATTTATGGAAAGATAAAAACCAAAAGACATTATTTTTACATTGATTTTTACATTATTGAAGATTTGAGGCAACAGGGGATTGTAGGCAATGCAACTCAACACCCCTTAAACTGAAAACTTTCAGAATTTATCAAAGTCCAGAATTATGACACTATATTTTTGTTTCACAACATGAATTGTGTTGTCAGTAATGTAACCAGTTGATGAGCTTTGGTGTGAGTGTTCACCAAGCTTGCAATAAGTTCCTTGGTGGTTTCCATTCCTCTATTCTTGTTGGCTGTGGTTTCCTGTACTCTGTGCACCTCCATGTAGTTCTGACTATTCTAGAATCACATCATGCAGTCTAATCTGCCTACTGTCCTGCTGAGTAGGAAGCCACACAGAATGGTCATTTTTATGCCTTCGGTTGTCGAACAATCGTCCAGCCTTTGGTTTGTATAAGGGTATTGACCGGTTCTGCTGCTCGCTTCAGAAACTCCATTAGCTGAAGAATGTGTTGGGGAGGAAAGGTGTGGTGACCAGGGACTTCCTGTGGGGTAGGGGAATGAGAAGGGGCTGTTTTATTAGAGCTTGCAGATCAGTGTTGTTGGCAAGCGTGATGAGTTGCAGTCATTATAGGCGTGCCCAAAAATCCCCTGCAAAAGCTTAGCTAAAAATAAAAAGCAGGTTTTCTTTCGATTGCCTTGTCCGCCAAGCCTTTTGGTGTTTTTCCTGATGGACACGCTAATCTAACTCGTCTGTCAGTAGCACAGATGATATCAAGTGCTTTATCTGCAGAAGTCAAGAGTTTGTCAGGTAGGAGTGCCCGTGAAAAACCAGTTCGGTCGCACCTCATGTGTCCTGTTCCACTTAAGTCGAGTATGCCGTGACCACCATGTGTGACAGAAATCAGCTAACACATGACTGAAAACAAGGAACAAAAACCCTAACATTACCACATGCCACACCCTCCTGTCTTGCTTATCAGCTAAGGACACCATGGGGCCTACAGAGTGCAGAGTTTACTTTCTCCCTTTAATGTTTTGACCTATGTTCCTTTTGATCTCTGACAAGTAGAGACGGTCCGGTCGGACCTCAGGGATACCTTTAACCTGTTCTTCTTGTTCTCTGTCCTCTCGGAATGCGTTGCTCCACATGAGAGCGAGGACACAATCCCTCACAACAAGGGAGGTAAAGCTGCTTTTTCTGTCGCATTACCTCATCGGGCTAGTGTTTATTTTGCCTTTGTCACACTCTGCTGTGCAGAGGCATCCGTGTTAACCCTGTCCTTCCTGGTTTAGTTCTGCACAGCCTTCTGTTCACATTGCTGATGGTGTCTACTTTCCCAAACATTACGTCAGCAGTACCTTGACAAACCACTCTTAGCTAGACATATCAACATCAATTCCTAGGGCTACATTGTTGAAAGACCATGTTGGGGCACTGAAATCAAGCTGGCGTCAAGTCTCACTATTACTTTGTGGGCACCAATCAGAGTTTAAATAACTGACATATGCATGGTTCAGCCTGGCTAATGAACAACCCTCAGAGAGCTGACGGAGACCACATCACTGAACCCATAGGCGGCACATGCTGATGTGTTGAGCTGCAATCCCTTGCACGCACTCAACAGCTCAACGGGCCCCGCAGAGACGCTCTCGCCCCCTCATTTAAAAAGTTCTTACCAGCTTTTGTTGTGGTGAATGGGGAATTAATGGGCTCTTGGCTTGTAGTTGTGACTTCATATAAGAGTGTTTCTTCTGGTTAATTGGTCTGATCTGAACACATGACAGAATCCTTTTATAAGAAAGTATTGTTTTCCATTCTCATTTGTGCTCGTCAGGATGGAAGCTAATGACCTTCTTGGTGTGACGATTGGCACGTCCAAAGTAGTGGAAAGACTAAGCTCTGTCATTAAAGATTAGTCCCATTGGGAACATAAAAAGTGTCTATTTATCGTGAGATCACTAGAGACAATACTTTTGTTGGCCTTGCTTTAAAGATCAATTTGTTGATCAAGGCTTAAAGGTGCTCTGCTTTAGCATGCTAACATTCGGCATGGGAAAACCCCTCTCTGGGAATTAAAATATAAAGTGAACTTAAATATGAATTCAAACCTATATTAATAGTTATTTATTTACAGATATTTAATTATGTTGTCTGCAGTTATCCAGGCTGCACTTACTTAAGAAAGAATAATACAAGAATTAAATAGTCGGTTTTGAAAAGTGTAGTAATTTTGCACGAAAAGTCGGAAACATGTTTATGCTAAGAGCTTTAGGGCTTTATAGTAAACTCAGAAATGTTAAAACGTGTTTAGCCTTTAAGTAGATGTTTTCTTGGTATGAAAACAGTGTGAGTCATGCACTGTAACATTCATTATCAAAGCACACAACACAAAACCACCTGTTATTCCAAACCCTCCAGGCAGTCTTGGCCCTCGCAGGAGGGGAATTACGACTGTCTTTAACAGTTCACACACAGTATTCAGCCTCTGGACTCTGTTAGCTGAGAAGGTCCTTGTCCATCAATGTGTTGTCACTTCAGCCCAGGACTGTTTCTTCCTTATAAGGGGCTCTATGCTTTTGTTTTGAGCTTTGAGCGCTCATGAAACGGATTAGCTTCTCGCTGATATGACCATGTAAGACCAGAGTGCACTGCACGTTTCATACAATATTCTGCTGGTTGTAACTTTCAAGTTCTGCATTGTTCCAGAAAAGTGCTTTATTTTAAATACTTAAAGGGTTCATATTTTAGTGGCTAAAGGAACAAGATGCATTTAAAATGTATATTACAAATAATAAAAAAAGATGGAAAATGCTATTATTTGTTTACCCTGCTGCTGTCTTCTGTGGGATAATCAGTTTGCTTCATCTGAGAAGTGTTGGAATAATCTGTATTTGTCGTTATGCTACACATGGATGTCACAAGTTAAGAGGATGGGTAGCCTATGTGGGCTGTTTTGGCCTCCCGCATCAGGAACAGGCTCATGACAAAGAATCCTTTGCTTTGAATGGATCCATTATTCAGCAGGACTGGAGTTGTACCTCTTCTGCTGTCAAAATAAGCTGCGGGTTGACCTGTGTTGACCTTGGTTTGCTAAATGCTTATGTTCACTGTCTGTGTTTCAGGATGTGGAGAAAGAGAAAGAGCTGCGCACTCATCTCACTCATGAGGAGATCAGAAAGAAGGTCGAGCAGTACAACGCAGACTCACGTGACCACTTTAAAATGACACTGGTGAGTTAATGATCTCTGTTTTTTTACAAATAGGTCATAAAATAATGAATCTAATCACTTATTTTCAAAATTCAAAAGTCCATCCACATTCTCCATCTACAGCTGAACATCACTGTTTGTCAGCTCAGATTTCCTAGTGAATAAAATCTGGAATTATACTGAATGTATTATGAATTAAAAGTTGTTTTACAATATTGCAGAAAGACATTTTTGTCATGTGACAAATTCTCAGACTTATTGTTGTCACTTTAATAAAAGCTTCATCATTGTCCCATGTCGTAATCAGTTTAACATGCCTCTTAATGTATCATGTGACAGCCATAAGGACTGTGATGTCAGAACATCTGACTTTACCACTGTACCTTTGTCCAGATCGCAGACTGTTTTTGTGTTGTTTAGACTTAAGGCTGGGCTGGGCTGGACTGAACTAGACTAAGGCACCGTGGCACAAATACTTTGGATTAGTATATCTGATGTTTTACTCATTAAGCATCCAAATTGTCTTGGATCATTAAGTTTAAGGCCTGTGTTCAGTGGGGTTGTGTGTCAGTGTGGTAGAGAGCAATGCATTGAGTTTTAGAGGTGTGTGAGCTGTAATTACACCCCCCGTGTCTCGCCTGCAGTCACGGCTGCCATTTGGACTAATGAGCTTACAGACAGAAGAACCTCAAATCTGAGCCCCATCTGGACGCAGTCAGATAACACGGCAAGATGTGCTCAACAGTGTTGAGGAAGCTGCTTTGAAAACCAAAGCTTGTCAAGCTACAAGCTACTACTCGTATTAAGCTGTTCTATAGTTAAGCTGTCCTTTTAAAGAAGGTTAAACCTTAAAACGTATAATTAATTTCTTGATTTAGTCATTAAACCAAAGCAGTATTTATTTGGGACAAAAGATGTGAGGATTATCTTCTTATACTCATACATTTACTTTTAAATACAACTATAATATATGATTGATATGTACTGTATGTTTTGGATCAGTTAATTGAAATTGCCTGCCTGAAAGGAACCGTTTTGCTGAAATGAATCAGACCTTCTCAAAACTAATTAAGAGAGGCATTCTTAGAAAATGCATTTGATTACATTTGTCCTAAAAACAGCGATGTAGCATTTTGTCAAAATAAACTGCTGCTCATTTGAAAAAAGTTAGTTAGCTAACCCTCTACACTAGTGGTCATTGATCAGAATAGACTCTTTTAGTCATAAAACTGAATCTTTTCTTTGTCTTTCCTCTGTCTCGGTCCTCCAGAATTCTAGCGGCATGTACACAGGCTTCATCAAGGTGCAGATGGACCTGCGGAGGCCCATCACGGTGAAAGGAGGTGGGGCAGGAGGGGTCAAAGGTCAAGAGGCGTTTTACCTTCCGCGTGGCTCCATAAACACCCTGCACATCAGCAGCACCAACACAGTGCGACAGGTGATCGAAGCCATGCTGAAAAAGTTCACCGTGGCCGACAACCCCGCCAAGTTCGCCTTGTTCAAACGCTTCAGCAGAGAAGACCAAGGTGAGACGCGGAACATGAATGTGGAAAATGCATCAGCGTATGTGTGCATATGGTAGACTAGCACTAGCGTGGTAATCACTCAGGACCCCTTGTGAATGTGTTTTTTGGCAGGACCAGATGCATTCCTGAAATAAGACAATCTCAGAAATGTGTGTGTATTTATGAACGTTCTTGACTTCTGGCACACACAGATACAGGACAGTCCTGTTGCCTGTAAGCATATGTGCACACACATGTGCCAAGAATACACCATGCCAGCGTAGTAAACACACATACACACCAGCTGTTGTCTGTGCCAACCTGTTGAATGCAGACTCGTTCCCCACATTTCATTGCCATACAGGGATATTCTGATCTGGGAGGGGTCAGGATGGTCAACTTTACTAGTTTACTAGTGACTACTAGTTAGTTTTTTCAGTGCTGGATCAATCACAGGCTTGCAGAGCGACATCAATTGGTGAATTCCTGAGCATTGGTTTTCCTCCCATAATGTCAAAGTGTTTCCAGTCCATCTCCTTCCTCTGACAGACCCCAGCCACTGTCTGAGCCCCTCGTTGACGTCACACACACAATAGGAAGCCAGACACACACATGGCTCAGTGATTTTAAGTACCTGCTTTCGTAGTCTGTGCGTCGGGTTGGAATGGGCTCCGGTTTATTTGACAGAAAAGAATCATTACATGAATCGGGTCATAAGAGTCATTCATTCATGAATCAGACTACACTGCTGTGCATATTTGTTGAGAAAAGATGTTATCTTAGTATTATTTTCCTTTATGCAGTCTTTTTATCTTAACTCATTTAATTCAGACTGCACATTTAGAACAAAATGACTTAAAAATCACTGTTTATCGTGTCAAAAAATATGAAAATATAAATGTTAAGTATTACAAAAAAAAATTAATTTAATAATCCTTTTTTTTTTTTAAACTCCACTTTTAGCAGATCCATATACTATATATATATATATTTTTTTTTTAAATTAATTAATTTATTTTCACCTCTTAATTCATGTATTTAAGTTGTCTTTTTATAATTATTTTTAATATATACATAATTCTTTACAGGTTTTCAATTTTTTTTTTAAACCTAATATTCTTTAGACAACCATCTTATGTAAATATTTTTAATATACTACATTTTGTTACTGATCCAAATACAAAAATGAGTACGCAAATAATTTTGGTTCACTGTGGTACAGTCGTTTCAGTCGCAGTGAATTGATGAACTGAGCGTCATCGTACTTAAGGGAGATATTACGCTCATCTTCAGTTATTTTGTGTGTGTAGGAGCCAATAAGTGCTGCTGCCAATGGGGGATTTTACTGAGGAGGCTGTCTGGAACAGTGATGTTTTTTTCCCTCCACCGTCTGAGACGGAGCATTTTCATGAGGTCTCACCACCGTGAGAGATCTCAGTACATGCTAGGAGACGTATATCCAAGACTTTGTGTTTGACAGCTGTTTTTAATGCGTGTAACGGGACTGTCGAGCTCTTAAACACCCGTCTAGACTAGATGACTTTAAGAAATGCTAAAGTTTAGATGCTGATAAACTCCCATCTCAGAGCTCATTATAGAAACAGACAGACCCTCATGTGTGATATCACAGCGGTACGGCCTATAAAGGAGCATGAATCAACCGCATTAGTGTAGACATAATAACAGCCCTGCTTGTTCTGATTAACCCCTGCCGGAGGCATAAGGAAGCCCCCATTAAACAGGAAAAGTGAGATGAGAGGATTCCTCAAGAATGAAGAAATGCAGGTCTGCGCCCTCTTCCTCACTCTGGGTGGAGGAAAATCTCCCATAATGCTAAAGTAAACGCGGCAGTTCTAGAGAATTAACTTTTGTTCCTGATATGAGGTGGTGCTCTTCCTTTTTTCGTGCTTAAAGTTTGTTTTTGCTGTGAAATTTGGCGTGAGATCAACATTCAGCAGTGGTGTAGTTTGGCGTTTGTCTTCCTCTTTGTAGTGTGGCAGGCCCTTTTTATAATACAATTGCAAGTGCTTTAAATGACTTGAATTTAAATGCAAGTTTTCAGAGTGGATCTCAATTACTGTTGGTGCTGAAACCCTGTCCAAGAAGCTTTGTTTCTAAATGTATCCTCTTTAAATTAAAGTCGACACCTTTATAGCACTTTATCCTCTTAACCCTGCATGGGCCCGCCGGCGGGCCCATTTGCCATTGCATGTTTAAAACAATAATATCTTAGTAAAAACCTAAAGTAATATTGCCAAACTATATATCATTTGAAAGCTTAAAATCTCTAGTTTTCATATTTGGTGGCTGTTATCTAAAATATATTACAGAGGAGCAGAAATTTATCAATTTGCAACAAGAATATTTCATATTCATTAGGAGTATTTAGGCCTTTATTTTGAAATAACAATAAACATGAAAAATCATGAAAGATTGGTAGAAACCTCAGTTTGTTTTCATGCCATGAGTTCAAAAGATAACCCCAATTCCATTTTATGAGAAAAAAAGGTCTGAAAATGTTTTAAATATAAAGAAAAATGTATGGATTCTCGATTTGTAATGCGGCTGCGAGCTATAACGCTATAACGTAGTCTTTATGCATTTATTAGAGGTTTAATTCAAATCAAATACTGCCAAACCACCCCTACTACTTCTGAATAGGATGTCTACTTCATAAATTGTATGAAAATTATGGAAATACATGGTTCAGATCACTCAAAACATATGAAAATGGAGGCGCCCTTATATGGGCAGTAATGGAGTCTGGTGTTCACCTAGTGAAAAAGTTGGGTACTGCGCCCGAATAAAATCTTACTGAAAGCTCATTTTTTGAGATATCAACCTAAAATTTGGAATACAACTTGTTCAGATATTTGACTTTAATTTTCTTGCAGTTTTAGAGTAAAATATATTTTGTAATATATATATTTTATATCAAATATTAATCATTATATTTTTACATTACACAATTTCATAAACTCAAACTTATATAACTTTTTTTCTGTTTCATTTTTTACAATTTCTGGACTTCTACAATAATCTGGAAAATGTCTTCTTTAAAACAAGACCAGCCATAGGTCTATATTCCAAAGCATTCCTGAATTACAACCATTTAAGTTTGGATAGTGATTTTTATGTCTATGCAAAAAAAAAGGGGGGTGCCAGTTAACAGGTTAAACAATACAGATTGTTTTAAAGCAGCTCAGTACAGTGATAAACAGGAAAATATTGATTCGGTGATAAAAAAAGATTTGAATTCGGCTGTAAAGCAGCTCTAGAAAGAAAATAGTGTTGATTCATTTTGGTTCAATAACTGTGTAAAGTTCATCAAATATTAAATGAGTTCAATTAATCTATAAAGCAGCTCTAGAGAAAACTCTAGTGATTTCATCATCCAGCTCAGCTCAGTTCAGTTCTCATGTAATGCCGAATAGTAAGTGTCCCCGACTCAGCAAGCCAAAAGTCGACAAACCAGGTTCAGTCGAGGGACCAGTTCTCCTCTGGCCAGACAACTCAACATGGTGTGGTTTAATTCCAGACTGCATCACAAGTCAGATTGTATTCCGAATATTTCATCAAGTTCCTTGTTATATCTCCTAAAAAAAATTTTTTTTTGTATTTTCATAGTTTTCCAATTGTTATTGATCTCTTCTGGGTCAAAATGGACCCGGAATGCATTGAGGTTACAGCTCTGGCACTAAAAAAAAAGGGTGAAAAATATCAGCATCCCTAATTCTTGCCTGATGTAGTTTTTTTCTTTTACAGTGAATGTCTGGTTATGTGAATGAAGTGCCTGTGATGGTAATAGTATGTGTTTTGTGCCTGTGTGTGTGCAGTGTACACCTGTAAGCTGTCAGAGGAAGAACACCCTCTGTTCCTGCGTCTGGTGGCGGGACCCAGCACTGACACGCTCAGCTTTGTCCTGAAGGAGCAGCAAACCGGTGAAGTCTTGGTAAGGTTTCTATATGTTTTACGCCCAGTAAGTAGTTTTAAGAGGCAGTGGAATGGTTGACAAAAAACAAACAAACAAACAAAAAAATCTGAGAAAATGTTGACTGATAATAATGATTTATTTGGGAGGACTAATTAATCTTTTAGGCCTCCCTAAAATAGGTCTAGTAACTTTCCTGGTATTTAGTGGGTTGTGTTTAACACATAAAAGATTGATCATCAACACACACACACACACACACACACACACACACACACACACACACACAGTAGTATAGATACGATGATCCAAGAAAAAAAAACAGCACTGGTATCGGATTGGTATATCAACATATATTCAGAATGTAGGTATCGGATACGGATCGCTGTGAAAAAAGCTCGGAATTTGGCCCGAACCCAGAGTATTTTAGAATTTTTGTATTGTATCCATCTTGAATTACTATCATTTGAAAGTTTGGGGTCAGTAAGATTTTTTTTTTTTTTTTTAGAAGTTCAGCAACAAGGCATTCAATTAATCAAAAGTGAAAGTAAAGTCCTATTTCAAATAAATACTGTTCTTTTGAACTTTGTATTCATCAAATAATCTTAAAATAAAATTTATCACAGCTTCCCTAAAAATATTAAGCTGCACAACCATTTTCAAAAAAAAAAAGGTTATGTTTTCAACAATGATTTCTAAAGGATCATGCGATGCTGGAGTAACGATGCTGAAAATTCAGCTTTGCATAACAGGAATAAATTGCATTTAAAAAAAAAATATTACTATGGAAAAGAGCTATTTTAACAGCTGTTCTGTGATGTATTTTTGATCATAAGAGACTTCTTTCAAAAACATTCATCGACCCCACATTTTTATATGTGTAGTTTTTTTGTTAATTGTTTGACTTTTTTGTTATTCACGTTGTTCTTGCCATGAAGATAGCCTTGATGCTGACATGGCATTACATTTTTTTTTTTTTATATATAAATAAAATAATAAAATGATGGAATTATGACACAAATCTTCCTCTCATCCATCAGTGGGACGCCTTTTCCATCCCCGAACTGCATAACTTCCTCCGCATCCTGGAAAAAGAGGAACAGGACCAAATCTGTGCGATAACCAGACGCTACAACACCTACAGAGAGAAACTGGACGAGGCCATGAGAGCAGCGGGCGGCCCAGGCTAAAGCTACCCTGCTGACAGAAGGAACTGCAGCACTGCTGCCTCTAGTGGTCACTGTCTGTAATGAACACTATTCGGTGTCACTGTGCCAAGTGGACACCCCTCAGAAACTCAGAGGAGAGCACTGACCTCCCAGAATGCACCTCAGGTGCCATATTTACCCTTCCGCCCCCTTGTGATCTTTCACAGTTTCAACCGTCGCAGTTATTTCTCATGTTTTCTGTTCTTTTACCTCGTGAAGTTGTGAATGATGCAAACGTGAAATTGTTTTTTATTTAATTGTTGGATGCTGTGGTTTGTAAATATTTCTGTTTGTTGTTTTAATTTATGTGGGTGAAGTTTTATTCTTTTGTTTATTTTACTGAAAGAGTCTTATTTTATTTCAAATATATTATTGACCAGAAACTGATGGGATTGGGGATTATTTTTGTTTTATATTAAATACCAATTGACTCATAATGTGCCCTACCAAAGATAGTGTTGGCATTTGATGTGCTGTTGACAAAATGAGGACAAACGTAGCACGTGACAAAGACCTGAAAACCACGTGAGACCAAACGGACAGGAAGAGTATGTTTGTGATGGAGAGGTTTGAATGTGATGATGTAGGGGCAGGAAATGAGGACTAAAACAATGGAGCATTTCATAATCATTAGTGGCTGAATGGATGGCATAAATGCAAATTAAAAACCAAACTTGCGTTTATTTTAATTCAGAAAAAGTATGCATAAGGATTCTTAGGTGATGTGCTGGAATTGTAACCGAACGGATTTCAGGAAGTTGGAAAGAGGAGCTTAGGGGATGTTTGAAAGTATGTGGGAAGTGTCACGCAGAGGCAGAGCAGACTGATGTTGGCCAGGGTCAGACCAGACGCTCTTTCTCATGATGGGACGTGATGACCTCGGGTTTGAGCAGATCAACAGTCAACAGGGCATTTGTTTTTCAGTGATCTCATCAACCCTGGAAAACGAGTTAGAGGGCGTCTTTGGGACAAATGACAGAATATATAAGTAATGAAGTTGTTTGTTTTGATGCTACAGCCTGAAAATGGTCAATTTAAGCTACGTCTGTCAAGTTCTACTTGCAGTGTGATCTTACTTTCTGTGATACGTAAATATATGTATAATCACACTGATCCGATTTCCTGTAGCAAGAGGATATAAAGCTCTGCCAATAGTTTATTTTACAAGCATTTCTTCATGGCATGGAGATGTAGCTGAACTGTTACCGTTGTGAGGTACACTAAAATAAACGCAGACACGTTAATGGTCAGTGCTACTTTGTCACAGCAGCATTCAAGGTCAACACTAATGGCGATGATTTTAAATGATACTTGTGTATCAGTAGGTGGTTTAATATGTATACACATTTATATTTGAATTTCTGTATGCTAGTGCTGCATGACGGTTTCCTGAAGGGTACTGCAACATTATATTGTGACGCATGCATAGCGAGGTAGCGACACCTTGTGACCAACTGCTGTAACTACATCTCTGCAGTCTTGTGTCTCACCTGTGTCAGTTAATTCAATTGTCTTAGACACAGATTGTGTGCTTTTTTTTCTTTATTATTATTGGTTTTATAACCTCTAACCAAAGATATTATTAAAATGCATAGTTTAATTTAAGTTTGAAACAAATTGCCTGGTGCAATCAGTTTGAACACCTCAATAAACTGAGGTTAAATTACAGTATCTATCTTGTCCAATGGTTTTACCATGGCAACTTTAATTGTAAACACTGGGGTAAATTAGAGTAATTTGTGTAATTTTATTGTGTGAAATTGTGTACACAACAGTCTCAATATATACAATCGAAGAGGATTTGTCAGGGGAATAAGACCAGTAATTTTATAAATGCTTTTTGGGCACTTTGTTTTAATTCAGGGAGTTATTTCGTTTTATTAGTCTTCATCAGATGCCTATTGCCTTCCACTGTTTTTAAACGGCATTGCATCTAGTGGAAGCTCAGTTATGTTGTATGATTTTTTTTTTTTTTTTATAAATAAAGCTGTTTCAGTACTTGATTTTTTTTTTCTTAAACAAGCTTTTTGTTTGTAGAGTAAGACTGTGAATGAATGTTAAATTGTATTCATGTATAGTAAAGTGGTGTGGATACGAGTGAACTGCTTCAATACTTTTAAGTATACGTGCATGTGTTATATTAATTCATGCATATTTTATGGCTGTTTTAGGACATCACAGGCCAGTGCTGTTGATCTTTCTGTTTAACAACATAGTTAGCTCACAAATCCCATACTCTGTATTTGCCAAAAATTCTCATTTTCTTCCACAGTTTTAAGTTACGTGGTTTTGGGGATGTTAATGATGTAAGTTTTTATATATCGAAGATGAAGCGAGGACTCTGTTGGCAGAAGTGGCATGAATATTGTCCTTGAGAGGTTTAGAAAAGCTTCACTAAATATGCATTTATAGAATCCAAATGAGTCCACATGTCATGCATTTTTGACAATGACCGGGTTCTTTGAGGGTTTGTATTGTTACCAATCGTGGCCTTTCTTGTTGAAGACATGGTTTCTTTAAATAAAGAGTAAATGTTTCTCAATTCACTGCAGCCGTCATCTGTTTGTGTGTGAGAAGAAACTGGCTCCTCTTGGATTTAGACTTGATCTCACTTTTGGCATAATCTCAAAAAGATGGTGTTTCTAATAATCTCCAACTCATTTGTCATAAACACGTTTTTTCCCCCCCTTCAAAGTAGCCTACCCTGAAGTAGCCTATAGGCTACCTTAGAGGGACACTGTGCCTTACACCAACAGTTATTAGCCCTTTTACTAGATTTTAACATCACGTTAAACTGTAAAGATGTGATTGGGGCCAAGACGTGCTCAAGGCAGCCCCACACGTGAATGATGTGCCCTCTGTATGAACCCGTGTTAATGTCCTCATCGCTGAACTCATCGCTGACTCACCGAACACTTCTCTCATGGCGTCCTGGAACACACGCTGAACTTATACAACTATCAAAAAGGCTCCACGACATAACCATGTAAGTTTACACAATTTTTTAAAATCCATAAAATCCTATTAATCACGAAAGAACGTACAAACGCTCACTTTGGATGATAAATAAACGTCGACTTTTCATTGTTGGTCACTTCTGGACGAATTTACAGTGTAGCCTACTAACGTTACTAACTTCACATTCTTAACTCACCACGGCTGAAAGCGGTGAGCTGTAGGAAATAATGCGGATTATTTCTGTTATTTAGTAAGAAAATCGCCTTTCTTTTGTTCTTTCGCATCTTTCGTGTCACAACCTGAGATGTTTATTACTCAATAATGAAAGATAACACGCGCGAGTCTGTGTGCTGCCTCTAAATCTTTTTAAAATATATTTACCTTGCACATGTTCACAAAAACTATTGATGTCATATATATAGTTTGATGGGGTGTAGCATCCTGAATGCCAGCATTAGTTATTTTATCATGATCATATTTAGTTGAATATAATATTATATAATTATATAATAAATCAATGCAACATCTAATTAATACAAATATTACATTTAATTTGATTAATATTAATACTATTTTTGTTGTTATTTTATAAATTATGTAATTTAATTTTCTTATATACTTTTTATTTTTTACATTATAATGTGATATGTCATGTATATTTTATGATCATTTTAACATTTATTTGAATATAATATTATATAATTAAATGTATAATTATATTATAATATCAATGTAATATTTAATTAATACAAAATATTACATTTAATTTGATTAATAGTATTATGATAAATACTATTTTTGTTATTTTATTTGATAAATCATGTCATTATATACTTATTTACTTTTTATTTTTTAACATTATAATGTGATGTATAATATCATAACCCCAAAAATGTGAAAAGCCCAGAATGTTCTCTTTAATTTACATAATGACATACATCTGTGAGATGTCTTTGCCCTTAAATTCATTTATTTATTTATGCAGGCTAGGGCAGAGTTCTGTAAGGGTTGCATTGTTGGCAGTTGCCGTTGGTTTGTATCTCACTCCCTCCCCTATTGATCCTGAGCCGTACATGTGAGTCTCACTTGCCTCTTCATTGTAAATCTCTTTACTTTGCAGTGAATTCAGCAGAAATTGATCTTCAAAGAGATTTCAGTCTTGTAGTAGTGATGTGTGTTTTCCCGCTGATGAACGTTTTCCAGATTTGAGGGACCCCCGCCTGCTCTGGACGGCCCTCTGGCAGTGAACACACGTCTACAGAGAGGTCGGCGGCTGTTTTCTGGTCAACTCAAAGGCCCGGAGTCCTTTACGGCAGACCAGAACGGTGACCTAGTCTTGTATTTTTGTCTGTTTGTTGTTGAGAAATACAGGCAGGTTTGATCTCTTCATTGTATCTCTCAAGGAAACATCTACACAGGGACTGTTGATGGGAAGCTGTGGAGAATCAACAAGGAATCCCTCACTTTCATCACTCAGATGGGCCAGGACATCCCTGAATGTGGTAAATCCACCATTGCACCAGCAGAAGACTAGAAAATGCTGAAGCAATTGTACCTGAATCCGTTCAGCTGTTTAGCTGCATATAGTGTAAATCATTATGCACTTCACGTGCCCTCTGTGGCTGGATGAATATGTATCGGCTGTTATGGAGACGTTCACTGGCTTGACACGTGTGGAAAAACCCGACAGTCCCTGTGTCCTGCTGCCATCACACATTAGACATGCTGAAGTGATTCACAAAGACTCAAGTGTTGTTGTATCAAAGGCTCGGCTGTTCAAAAGAGTCTCGAATGCAGATGTCTTCATTAGAGCATTTGATGCCTCCCTTTAATCTTACTATATTTAACCAGCCAGAGCTTTTTAAAAATTCAGGTGGGCAAATGTATTCTCTAGTGAGTCATTTAGCAGAATGCAAAATGTGCCTGTCGGTTAGTAGATACCATTGTTTTCCTGGTACAGAGACGGTAAGATATCATGCTATATTTGCATAATTGCCATTTTGTCCTTCACAGGCACATGTATGGACTATGAGCCGGTATGTGGCCGTCCACATGGTCTGCGATTGGACCGTGACGGGCAGCTTATCGTGGCTGACTCTTACCAGGGTCTTTTCAAAGTTGACCCTTGGACTGGAGAGAAGACATTGCTACATTCCAGCAAAGAGGGTCTGTAAACATTTGACTTACTGTAGTGTGCACTTTTTTCAAATGTCTCAAAAATATTTTCACAACATTTTGGCTGCTTTGGCCAGTGTCAAAATCAACTTCCATTTTTATCTCAATTTACTATATATTTTCTTCTCAATTGAATTTTTTTTTTGCTCAACTTTTTTGCTCAATTTTGCTTTTTTGCTTTGTTGAGTTGTAAACTCCTAAAGTCAGGCAAAAATTGTATATAAATATATATATACTCATATTAGTATACAGTTTTAGCCACAAGTGGTGTCTGGAGGGGATATTTGTTTTTAATGACCCTAAGAGTTTGATTAAAACACCAAAATATAAGAATATGATTTTTTAAATATGAGGGAGGAACAAAACACTAGACTTGGTTAAGGTTTAAAAAAAAAAAAAAAAAAAAAAAAGCTTACAGGAAAAATTATACATTGACTACAACATAATAAGTTATTAATATTTTGTTGGTTTTCTCTTGTTTTTGCATGTTTTCAGAATTTCTTTGTATGACAGCCTGGCCAAATAATATGTCTGCACAATTTGTAATGTTTCATTGCGTTATCACAAATAAAACAATTGACTATATGCAATATACAGGTCCTTCTAAAAATATTAGCATATTGTGATAAAGTTCATTATTTTCCATAATGTAAGGATAAAAATTAAACTTTCATATATTTTAGATTCATTGCACACCAACTGAAATATTTCAGGTCTTTTATTGTTTTAATACTGATGATTTTGGCATACAGCTCATGAAAACCCAAAATTCTCAAAAAATTAGCATATTTCATCTGACCAATAAAAGAAGTGTTTTTAATACAAAAAAAAGTCAACCTTCAAATAATTATGTTCCGTTATGCACTCAATACTTGGTCGGGAATCCTTTTGCAGAAATGACTGCTTCAATGCGGCGTGGCATGGAGGCAATCAGCCTGTGGCACTTCTGAGGTGTTATGGAGGCCCAGGATGCTTCGATAGCGGCCTTAAGCTCATCCAGAGTGTTGGGTCTTGTGTCTCTCAACTTTCTCTTCACAATATCCCACAGATTCTCTATGGGGTTCAGGTCAGGAGAGTTGGCAGGCCAATTGAGCACAGTAATACCGTAGTCAGTAAACCATTTACCAGTGGTTTTGGCACTGTGAGCAGGTGCCAGGTCGTGCTGAAAAACGAAATCTTCATCTCCATAAAGCTTTTCAGCAGATGGAAGCATGAAGTGCTCCAAAATCTCCTGCTAGCTAGCTGCATTGACCCTGCCCTTGATAAAACACAGTGCACCAACACCAGCAGCTGACATGGCACCCCAGACCATCACTGACTGTGGGTACTTGACACTGGACTTCAGGCATTTTGGCATTTCCTTCTCCCCAGTCTTCCTCCAGACTCTGGCACCTTGATTTCCGAATGACATGCAAAACTGAGCAACAGTCCAGTGCTGCTTCTCTGTAGCCCAGGTCAGGCGCTTCTGCCGCTGTTTTTGGTTCAAAAGTGGCTTGACCTGGGGAATGCGGCACCTGTAGCCCATTTCCTGCACACGCCTGTGCACGGTGGCTCTGGATGTTTCTACTCCAGACTCAGTCCACTGCTTCCGCAGGTCCCCCAAGGTCTGGAATCGGTCCTTCTCCACAATCTTCCTCAGGGTCCGGTCACCTCTTCTCGTTGTGCAGCGTTTTTTGCCACACTTTTTCCTTCCCACAGACTTCCCACTGAGGTGCCTTGATACAGCACTCTGGGAACAGCCAATTTGTTCAGAAATTTCTTTCTGTGTCTTACCCTCTTGCTTGAGGGTGTCAATGATTCTGGACAGCAGTCAGGTCGGCTGTCTTACCCATGATTGCGGTTTTGAGTAATGAAACAGGCTGGGAGTTTTTAAAAGCCTCAGGAATCTTTTGCAGGTGTTTAGAGTTATTTAGTTGATTCAGATGATTAGGTTAATAGCTCGTTTAGAGACCCTTTTCATGATATGCTAATTTTTTGAGACAGGAATTTTGGGTTTTCATGAGCTGTATGCCAAAATCATCAGTATTAAAACAATAAAAGACCTGAAATATTTCAGTTGGTCTGCAATGAATCTAAAATACATGAAAGTTTAATTTTTATCATTACATTATGGAAAATAATGAACTTTATCACAATATGCTAATTTTTTTAGAAGGACCTGTAGTATTATAGTATATTTATTTAGTCCTCAATATCGCAATATGCTTACTAAATCTTTAACACATTTTTCATAATATTTGGATAAAGCGTGAAAATCACTTTTGGCCACTACTGTACTTGCACATATTGGTTTTCTTTATCTCAGTGTACTTTATACTTGCTGCTTTGCGCAAAGTTGAAGACTTTATAAAAACATATTTACTATGATTCCAATCCTGCAATTTGAAAGAGCATCATATTTAAATAGCCCCTTCACATTCTTCTTATAAGGAGCTGATGGGATTCCCTTTGGCTTTCTAAATGGTCTGGAGATTTCTAAAAATGGAACCGTGTTTTTCACGGACTCCAGCAGTAAATGGGGAAGACGTCATGTCCGTTATGAGGTGAGTGAGTGACATGAACATTGACAACACGGTCATATTACCTGCACTAAAGGCTGGTTCTCTCTGCAGGTTTTGGAGACGAACCAACTGGGTCGGCTTCTCTCGTATGACCCCGTGACCGGTGACGTTCGGACATTGTTGGATTCTCTCTACATGCCTAATGGCTTTGCCTTCTCACCTGATGAGGACTTCCTGCTTCTGGCCGAAACTAGTATCGGACACATTATTAAGTAAGAGCTTTTAATTTTTTTTATATACATCGAATGTTAAAGGATCGTGAGGAAATCTTCCTTCCTGTTTCTCAGGTTCTGGTTGAAAGGACCTAAAGCGGGCACTAAGGAGACCGTCCTGAACAACATGATTGGTTATCCTGATAACATCCGCCTGAGTGACCGTGGCACATTTTTGGTGGGCATAACCACCGTTAGATTCCACGGCCGACTTTTCCCACCATTCTTGGATCTGATTGGTCCGTACCCTGCTCTTAAGCGCTTCATAGTAAAGGTGGGTAAGTCTTAAATATGTGGAGTTTAGGTCAGTTTAGCAGTGACAAAAGTGAAATCTCAGTGGTGAACCCTCTTGCAGCTCATTCCTCTCAGCTGGTACAACGTTCTGTTGCCCAAGTACGGGCTGATTTTGGAGCTGGGGCCTGATGGAGAGGTGGTTGACAGCCTACACGACCCAACGGGCAGCCTGACGTGGGCCGTCAGCGATGTCTTCCAGCAGGGGGCGCGCTACTATCTGGGCAGCACTGACTTGCCGTTTCTTCCTGTGCTGGAGGAGTGGAGCTGACCGTCTGGCTCTCTTACGTGTGGACATAAACATGGGGAAAGTAGCAGTCTCGGTAACCTTTCGTAGATAATGTAAAATTATTTGCATTTTAATAATGCACTAAAGTCTTGTGAGAAAACTACATATCTTCGTAACTGTGAATTCTGTAATTTAAAGAGGACCTATTATGCTATTATTTACAATTTTTTAAACAACTTTCTTAAGTGTGTAATATTGCTGTTTGAGCATGAAAAAGGTCTGCAAAGTTACAAAGCACAAAGTCACTCCAAAGGGAGTTCTTCTCTATACCAGAGCGCACTGTTTCTGAACTCACTGAAACGCCTCCATTAATCTTGAACATGTCACAATATTCCTCATTTAAATAATTCCCACCCAAGACATACACAAAATAAAGGGACAAAGGTTGGTTGAGTTAGTTAGTTAGTAGTGTGTTTATACTATAGTAAGGGGGATGACATTTCCCAAACACACTCAGCGTTTGACCAATCACAACACACTACTCCAGCTTAATAGAGACCTAAACCAACAGACAGGGAAGAGAGGTGCTGCAGCAATATAAGAAAACATTCAAGCATGAAAACCTAATCTAGTTGACTTTTTTTGTAAAATGACATAATATGGCCTCTTTAAGTATAGTTAAGCCATTATAGTTTGTCTAACACAGACCTTTTAACTGTATTAATGGTCAAGGGGAAGCATCATATTCAGTTTCGTTTTTTTATGATTTTCTGCACTGCAAAATGCATTGGTCATAGTAATATAAGCATAGCTGTTCCCATTTAAAAATGTACACATGGTTTTCTTATGCAAAGGTAATGCAAAACATAGAAATAACATGAAAGTTCAGGGCAGTGAACTTTCAAGCAACAACCCAAAATATTTTTAATTTTAAAACATTTAAAAATGTATCATGTATGTTTCGCACTAATATACTGTACATATATAGATTTTTTTAATAAAATAACTGTTGCAATTAGATTATTGAATAATCATGTCATTGTGAGCCACATCAATTGTCCCGTTTATTCTTTTAAAATACATTTTAAAATTGATTTAAGCAAAAAAAAAAAAAGACGGCAACAAAAATATTTTCAGAATGCTTTTATCAATCAAACACACAAGACAAAAGTCCACACCAACCATAGCAATGCTACTAACAAATATAATGAAAGATTTATGTGCAAAACATGTCAGACATGTTGATCACAGACTGGAAAGTGCTTCACTAAACGGATATATTGAAGTATTGTGTTGCGAGAAAGATCTTTTCAAACGCACTTCTTATGCATGTCCACCGCTTCTCAGATCATTTTGGGTGATTTGAGATATTGCCAATTCCAGCAGAAGATTGTTGAAGGTTGCGTAGTAGTCTGAAAGTAAAACAGTCCCTTAAATGCTTCAAGTTTGGGTTGCTGTGAACACATCGAGAGCAAAGCGACAGCAACCCAACCACAGGATTTCCAAAAATGTTTTCTTGTACCAAACTGAGGCTAAACAATGTCAGATGATATTCAATGACCTGCTGTGATCCACACCTTTGGCTCATTCACAACTGACACAAAACGCAATAAGAAAAGAACAGTTTAACTACAATAATGAAATACAATATTTGCACTTAGTTAGAGAATCATTTTGTTGTGGTATTACTCAAGTAAAATATGCTCACTTGCCAAATGCAAGTGACGGGAACTGAAAAGGTGATATAATATTTCAATAGCAAAATAGTGCATAAAAGAAAAATAGTAGTTCAGTTTATATGGTACTTTGGGCCTGAAAGTGTTCATCATAAAATTTTAAGTTGTATATATTTCTATTGTGGTTGTTCTCAATTTATTTCTTTTTACCATTTGCCATTTTTAAACCAGAATAAGAAATCCACTTTCTATCCTTGCGGTTGACCAGAAATTAAGGACAAGAACATTCAAAGTGTTTTTAAAAAAAAAAAAACAAATATGTGGAGTGAAATGTTTCAGACACATCCGGCAAACAAACAATCCAACAATTCCCTCAAGTTCAATACTGTGCATGTGTTTAAAGCAAAAGTAAAACTAAATCTAAAAAACATGAATAAAATAAAGACAATATTTGAAATGTTCAGTGTTATTGTTAAAGTCAAAGCAGCAAGATTAATTCAGAACGAACAGGAATATGATGTGAATGCTCTCACAGATGTGTGCCAGCTGGTAGTTTGTCAGGATCTGATGTGAATGATGTCAGAGGGCCGTCCTGTCTGAAAGTGTCTAGTTTGTTTGGTATCCTGGCGCACCCTGATGACCTCATCTGTGGAGGAGAGACTGGGCATCTTTGGGAGAACGTCAGGATATAAAGGCAACAACAGGGCTTGTTTTTCAGCGCCCTTTATTCTTTCCCTCCATTGGTCTTCTTCCTTTAATCCTTCCTCTCCACGCTCTACTTCAGCGTCTGTCGTAGTTTGTTCCTGTGAGGGACGAGGCTGCTGAACATTAACCGAGGATCAAACCTAAACCTGGTGGAACAGTGACAGGCGAAAATGTAAGTTTGAAGACATTTACCAGAATTCGAATTATTTTAATTGAATGCTGAACGTTAAAATGATCAGGAAGTACAGACTTTGAGTCGTAGACGCCAGGCGTTCTGCAGGACTGTCCCGAGCAGGACTGCAGCATCATTAGGCGGTGGTTCATCTTCTCCAGGACTTCCTGATCAATGCTTTTGGCGATGTTACTCAACTGAAAGGGGTCTGCTGTCAGGTTATACACCTCCACAAACACCTGCAAGCAAATTAGTGAGCTATTACAGTATAATATATATAATAGGAGTTGGAGCAAATAGAGTTTTTGATTTCTTTTTTTACCTCGTTGTCATCAAATTCACAGTACTGCAAGTTGGCGGCCTGCGATACTGTGCGAACACATGCGTATGTGTTGTTGTACGAGTCTTCACAAACACAGTCGGGGAAACACTCCTGCAGAAAAGAAAAAACAGCTGTGTTGTAGCACTCATTTTTTCCGATTACTGTAATGAGTATTTGTAGCACGCAGACCCTCACCGAGACCCCGGGGCCCAGCAGAGGGCAGGCTGGGTCTGAGATGTTGCTTCCTTCTCCCTCATATTCCACCAGTACATCAGATCTCCATGTGCTGCTGTTCCCTTCACCGATCTGAAACAAATCAAAATGCAAACTTGTTTCGAATTTTAATTAATTATACTGTACGTTGAGAAAAAGACCCCCAAAAATGCCAATACTTAAATGCATTTATTTATTTAGTTCAAAGTCGATAAGTTCAAACAGGATTTACCATGATAGGTAGAAATGACATCCCATCCATCTTAGTTTCATTGACGTTATATCCTGCTATGTCCACAATCGTTGGACCCAAATCCACATTTGCTATGAGTAACTGTTAAAACAGAGAAGTTATTAATGACACACATAAAGCAAATGAATATATATATATAAAAAAAAGCTTGTTTATATTACCTGGCTTGTCTGATTGGGTTTGATATTAGGGCCTCGCACCAGCAGAGGAACTCTGATATCAAATTCATAGAGTTGCCTCTTATCCATCGGAAGAGAAAACTGGCCTGAGAGGAAGAAACGGACACATGAAAAAATAAAAGACAGGTAGAGTAAAAGAAAATTTCTCACCTATTAAACTCATCATGTACCTGTGTGGTAACCATTGTCGGAGGTGAAAATGATGTAGGTGTTGCTAAGCTCTCCTCTGACCTCCAACTTTTTCACCACTTTCTCCACCAGGTCGTCTACTGATAGTAAAGTGCGCCACCTAGTGGAACAGACCAACAGTACCGCATTACATCATGTGGACTGTGGAGTATTAAAATGATTTTAAGTGGAAAAGAAATCTGAATACCGTTTTCTGTAGGCGTTATCCAAGAACTCCACTGAAGAGTTTGTCATGGGTGTCTTTGCTTGCCTGATGAGCCAGTGTTTGTCCTAAAAATCAGGTTGAAATGCTGTCAGATATGCACAAAAACCATCCAATCAGAACATCTAAAGGAGCTTTCGCACCAGAGGAACGTTCCAATAACGATTGTCGGAAGTACCTGCTTTTTGGTGTGTTCGGACCGCAGGAACTGGGAAGGATTTTAGTTCTAGGAACGCCTTTTCGGGGGGCTAAATTAGCTCCTACTTCAGAGTAGGGTCTAACCCAGCACAATAGGAACTACCAGTGACGTAAGTGTACGTTGATTGGCCGAACACATGCCATACACTGGCATTTTTAAAAAGCAGTTTAAACACACAGCTTACATATACTTACTCCACTAACATGGAGACCAGCGATAGATGGACCGAGGCCTAAGTCCATCGCACTTAAATTATGTCGATTATGTCACTTCAGAATCAGAATTCCTACTGGCGGTGCGAATCCAACTAGGAAAATGGCCTTAGGGGCAAATTTTATTCTTGGGGGACTGCCCTGATGGCTAGTTCCTATAACCGAGTTCCTGTAACTACCTGGTGCGAGAGCCCCAGAAGACGCATCAGGCCCGTACCTTTCCATGTATGTTGAAGTTAGGGTCTCTTGGCGCTTTGACGTTGGGAAAACTGCTCTCGTACTGAGGAGCGGCCGTCCAGGGTGAGTGCGGGGCCGGAGTGGACACCATCATGAAGAAAGGCCTGCGGTTAGACTTGTTCTCCAGGAAGTCAATGGAAATATTGGCCTGGATGGAATCAGACATAAGCCACTTAACTTCTGTTGCATAAGGTTTTATGTAATCTCATGAATGCGGGTGAGATCTGCTCTTACCAGAACATCCGTAAGGTAATCCTCACTGTAGTTCTGTCCATGCCGCTGCGCCCTGCCGTTCACAGACAGCGTGTAGTTGTAGTACTTGGAGTTTCTCTCCTGTAGGAACATGTTAAAATCATCAAAAAGATTTCACTCCAAATAAATCTGGTCTCAAAATTATTATTTTTTTTAAAAATCAGTATAATATAAAAAAAACAAAATTCAAAATAAACATCAAATTTATATATATATATATATATATATATATATATATATATATATATATATATATATATAAATAAATAGAGAGATTAAATATACAAAATATCAAATTAAATAAATATAAAAACATCAAGTTAAATAAATGTATGTATATATATATATATATATATAAATATAAATTCAGCTTAACAGAAAAATATATATATAAAATATATAAAAGTTAAATAAAGAATATATAGAGTTACGAATATATATATATATATATAAATTCAACCTTAAAAAAAGACTAAATGCATATAAATAAATAAAAATTAAAAGGTGAAAATTAAGGGGGAGGGGAAAAGTGTGTGTGTGTGTGTACATATATATATATAGCTTTTATGTTCCATGCAGTTTGACACAGAAATCTACAATCTGCTCTCAACAACACCATGAGCTTTGAATTATGGGAGCTGCTAATAAAAGAAATAATCAGCATGGCTCCAGAGAACATTCCTTTTCTCTTCTGGATTCATTTCTGTGCCTACATTTGCTTGAGTTCTTGTAGCAGCTTCACAAACATGCCACATTTTAGGCTACTAACCGTTTCCATAACCTAGCTAAAATTAGACTTCCGCAGGGCTCATGGGAAAGGTTGACAGGCTTGTCAATGTGTTCCCGCTTGTCATCTCACCTAAATCATTAACGTCTTCTACTTGTGACCCTCAAAGCTCGCTGTGTACACGACAACCCTGAAGCTCTGGTAAAAAAAAAAAGCATGATCGGCTTCGGTCTTTTTCTTACCAAGGCGAACCAGTGGTCCCAGCCCGGAGGAACATGCTCCACGCCTCCAGCTTTTTTACTGCCGTACTGGAGCAGAGAAACACACATGGATGATGTACTGATGATCAGCTGATTCAGGGCTGGCAGTATGACATGATGATAAAGACTATAAAAATTTTTTTTATAAAAGTTTTTCCACCCCAAACTAAAGAAAGGGTTTATCCTTATGAAAGCACCCAGTATCTCTTTACCTCATTCAGATACTTCCCAGCAAAGAAGGTCTGATAGGTGCCGTGTTTCTGAAGAAAGGCAGGGAAGCTGTCGGGCTCTTGGGTCTTCTGCCACGCTGTGCTGCTGCAGTTGCCCTCCAACGTGTTGTTCACGACATGATGGTTATGGGGGTATTTGCCCGTCAGGATACTCGCCCTGCTGGGGCAGCAAAGAGGACTGGCAACAATCTGGGTGAGAGAAGAAATGACAAGAAGTGTTAGGAGATGCTGTGCAAATTGATGCAATGGCAAACATGCATGCTGGTTGATTCATGATAATACACTTGCCGGTATAAGGTTAAATAACTCCCCACAGCACTTTTATGCAAAACATTTGGGGTTTTTAAGGACACAGTTGTAGTCTAGCACAATTTCTACTCACCGTGTTTGTAAAGGTTATTCCAGCATCACCAATCAGCTTTTTAGTCTTCACTAAAGGGATCTGTGCATTGAAAGATGTCAAGATAATGAATGATGATGTAGCTCATTTACTCAACAACAATATTTAAAGTAAAATGCATGGAGGAAATCACGACCACTGAGAATGGCAATGCCATTGGCAACAATAAAACTCTTTTTTTTTTTTCAGAAAATGTAACGTTACTCACCATTCCGCCGATGGAGACATCCAGATCATCAGTCAGGATTAAAACAATATTTGGTCTGGGATTCATTTTAGCCGCGGCCAGATTGTTGCAATGCAAAGTGACGCAGATGAGAATAAAATGTAATATTACTAACGGAGAAACCATCTTTGACGCCGAATTAAAAACAAATAAAGCCATGGCCTAAACGAGGACCTTTTCTTGCGATAAAAGCATGAAATACTGTTATGGGAAACGCTGCTTAGAGGAGCAGCTAGCTTTCCTAGTCTAGTGTACGAAATTACGAATCATACTATGGCGACGTCTTGACTCATGGATATTAAAATTTTGCTTGGTTACTCTGTTGTGGCGTCTAGTCACGTAACCTAATTTATATTCATAAGCCAAGCCTTTAGAATTGAAGGATTCGCTAATTCGCCAGCAGACTAGCGCCCACCTACCAACGTCTGCCTTACAGCCAATCAGACGCTTTGCATCATTAATATTTATAAAAATACCCCTCGCCATAGTAAGATTAATAACATTTCCCTCCTCAGTTCCAGTCATGTGGAGAGGCGGAAGCCCCGGTCAGCTGATGTTTACGCTCGTCTAAAAGATGATGTCATTCATGCAATTTCTGTTTTATGGCTTATATTGTTTTGTTTGTTTATTTATTTAAACAGGGACAATTAATAATTCATTATGTGAAATGCGCTAAATTTAGCCATGGCTAATTTTCATGCGTAGTCCCTTGGCAGGTTGATTTGACTTGGCAGGACTGGAGAAAAAAAAAAAAACTAAATTTAAAACACAAACATACAAACTACCACTGTCTATAAATGTTCACAATTTTGATTCAACAGTAGTCTCTTTTTATTTGTCTTTCCCACTCAAATCTCTGTCAGGCCTTCAAAAGTTGTATATATATTTTTTTTTTAAAATATTGTAACTATAGATGCAGTTTCACGTTTCAATCCAAGAAAAGATTTTCACGCAAGAAAATGTAAACAATGTAACACACACACACACACACACACACACACACACACACACACACACACACACACACACACACACACACACACACACACACACACACACACACACACACACACACAGGCCTATATATTATATATGTAATCCATACATATAGCCTATAATTGGCTATATATATTTGTATGGATTACTAGCTATATAATATTTGAAAGGCTGCCTATTTGAAAACATAAACATATGTTCAGCAAATGTATAATTAAATATATAGGCCTACAAAAGTTTGTATATTTTTAATTATACATTTGCTGTTTTTTTTAAATATGTGTTTGTATGTACATAAAATGTAAATGTGTTTTATGTATTTATTTGGACACTTTAATTTACAAACAATTATTGTAGCCTATATTTTTATTTGGAATATTTGTAGTGAAATGAACAAATACTATACATTTATCATTGACCTGTTTAGAAAGTTTGTTTCAAAAGTTTCGCAGGTGGGTTGAACTATTCCTGCAGCAGGGGCGCGCAATCAGGATTTAGACCGTTTCAGGAAGGAAACCAGAGCCTGGGAAAGGCGCTGCCAACCCCGCTCAAGTAATGGAACACACCCGGAACTTGAGTTCCTTATTGATTCATCTAAAACAATCTTTGGTTTGTACTTATGTGCAGCAAATGTGCACGAGTGTGTAATGCTGAACATTAAAGAGCGGTAAAACATGTCTGGTGTGGACGTCGCTAAAGAGGAACTTAAAGAGATTGACATATGTGACAACATCTGCTCGAAGGAGGAGAGTGGAGTTTTCGTCAACTCAAGTGCGTCGTACCTTGACGGCTTCTCGGCGCTTCACAAATGGGTTTCAAAGGGACTTTCAGTCTCAGATACAAGCTGCGAGTGCGCCCAAACAGCTTCATCATTATCAGTCTCACTATCCAAGTGCGCAAAAGAGCCTCATGGATCACCAGCTGGAGAGATCCGTATGGAGAGAAGAGGAGGAGGAGGTGGAGGGGGGATTCTTGAAGCAGGTGTGTATTCGGATGAAGATGATCTGAGAGCGTCCCGGGCATCATCTATAGTGGAGTGTCTGTTAGTGGAGCTCTATGACACATACAGTAATAGCGTCAGAGGGGTGGACAGCTCGACCGAAGCCTCCAGCTCGGATGCCTTCCTGGGAAGGAGCAACGCTGGCTCCAACTTTCTGCAGGAACTTCAGGAGAAACACACGAGACGCCATCAGATGAAATACCTGACTCAAAAAGGTGAGCATCAATTCAGCCAATTCAATCCAATTTATGTACTGTAATTCATAAACTACTGGTCAAAATTTTGGAATAGTTAAGACTTTTCTGAAGAATCATGTGATATTGATGCTGAAAATTCAGCTTTGCATCACAGGAATAAATTACATTTTAAAATATATTTCGATACAACACAGTTATTTAAATTTTAATAATATTTTACGGTTTTTACTGCATTTTGCCTTGGTGAGCATAAGAGACTTCTTTCAAAAACATAAATAAAACTGTAATTATTCCAAACGTTTGACCAGTATAGTTTATGTCTCATGCATTTCTATTATAATTTATGTATTTTTTTCCTTTTTGTTTTTAAATCATGCTTTAAATAAATAAATATGAATCTATAAATAAATTCACCATTTTAACTTTGTCATATTTTTTTTTTTTTTGCAGTGCATTTCCATGTACACAAAAATAGTGACATTACTCTTAAGTAATAGTATATGTTATATGATTGGGGTGCTTAAAATGGTTTTAGATTAAATGTAGTGTTACAGATACTGCATGAGAACTTACCCAGTCATAATGCCACTCTGAAACCCAGTTAATCTTAACCCTTTGTTTGCTGAAGTAATTTAATTGTTGTCTCAGGTGCTCAGGTTCTTTGTAGGCCATAATGACAATTTACATATAAAGGTCTTTTGTAGACTTGTATACACAGTGTTTTGACAGTCATAATTATCTTAACCTGTCTACATATGTAGTGTTATTTTCACTCTCACTGCACAATCTATTCAAATAAATGTTTTTATCAAATGAATGCACATCCTTCAGATTTAAACAAGCTTTATTTTGTGCTCAGGTCCGGAGGAGCTGAAGTGGATCGTTCAAGAGGTGAAGTATCGCATCGCTGTACAGTCGGCCAAACTGGTGCGTCAGGTCAAGAGGAAGGACAGGCTCCGGCAGAAGTTTCAGAAGAACTGTGATATAGTCACCGCCTGCCTGCAAGCCGTCTCTCAGAAAAGACGTAAATTTACAAATCATTCTCTCATTTCCCTCCTCTTGCATTGCTGTTATGAGCAGCAGTATTAAAGGGGCCCTATTATTCCCTTTGTCTTGATTTTGTTTTAGGGCTCTACCATAATAGGTTTTCATGCTTGATTTTTGTCTGTCAGTAACGCACTGTGCTGCATTTCCCAAAAGCATCATTAACCAACTATGGATGCAAGTTCCATCATTACCAGCATAGTCAAACGATTCAGTGTTCCCCAAAAACCATAGTTCCAACGAACATTCGCAAACAGCATTGCAGAGTTGTGTGGTTGGACCTACAGATCTCGACCTGTGGTTAGAATCAGTTTCTTGTTAGTATGATATGTGGACATCTATATAATAGATCATGCTCTTGAGCAAAATAGCAAGCAGCATGTAGTACATTCTATATCTTTTATTCCAGATACATACAAATTCTAAGACTTTTAAGCCCGATTTCACAGACAAGGCTTAGATTAAGCTAGGATTAGGCATTAGTTTAATAAGGACATTTAAGTAGCTTTTATAAACGTGCCAAACAACATTACTAGTGTGCATCTTGAGACAAAAAAATTGCACTGACATATTTTAAGATATGCCAGTACAAGTTTCTTTCAGTTAAAACAGCTCAACAATGCCTTTTAGTCTGGGACTAGGTCTAAGCCTACTCTGTGAAATGAGGGTTAGTTTGTCAAGAGAATTAAAGCGCTACACTATTATATTCTAGATTGACAATACGTCATAGCATTTATTGATGGATGTCTGTTATCCTTCAGCTGTTTTATAAAAGGATGCGGTGGTGTAATATAGCTTACATATGTAATGGTTGCCGAAAGGCTCAGGCTCACATACTGTATATCAAATGCATTTTTTCTTCACCTTAGTCTGGTTCTCTCAGTTGATATTTTAGAAGACCGCATTCTGAAATATCTTCCCTCTACCACAGGATTGAGTCCTCCTCACCTATACAACTCAATTATTTGCATTAGATTCAAAACACACACTCTGTTCAACATCACTGCCGCTTTCAGAGGATCATGTGTTCATGTGATGAGTTTATGACACTGAGATGCAAATTAGCACCGTAACGTTGTAGTGAGCTCAAATTTGTATTTGAATTTTGCTCGCTAATTTTAGTCATCAATGTGGCCTTGCGTCTCTTAAATATGTTTTCCTCCATTTTATCTACATGCAGCATGACAAGCACTGTCAAACAGGTACAGTATGAAATCACATCAAAACTATAGCACTATATGGTTGCCTTTATTCAGTCTGTCTATTCTTGATGCAAGAGGTGTGACTTTATACAGTAGATACAGTATAGTAGTAGTGAACGGTTATGGGTCTTGTTGTATTTGACATGTTTATTTTTGTAAACATGAGTAACGGTGTTTATCTCTGTTGTTTTGTCACTAAATGCATGTCAGGAAAATATACCCAAATGCTTATCATCCAATGGAAAATATATACATTTTCCATATCAGGATGATCATTCTTTCTGTTAGAAATGTGTAAACATCTGTCTCTCTTGTTAGTCACATGAGTTTGGGTAAATCAAGACACTTTTGGACAATCATACAATGTTAAAAATGGTCAAATTTACCTGACTTTCTGTATATTGTATGGATGAATAGGTACTTTAATTTGGAATATTCTGACACATTGTCGTTTAGCACAAAATAGGAAGCCTGCTTATTGACTTATTTTTCCTTAAATCTCTCTCTCACTTTGTCATGATGTTTTAAATCATTATATTATACAGAACTAACTTTAAATAATTTACTATTTCCTCCAAGTGCCTTAAAGTACAACATTCCCTTTTTATAAAACAGACCCTTGATTCAGATTGGTTGAGCCGTGTTTGAAGCCCTTGTAAATGACTCTACAAACATACACCTGTGTGATCTCATTAAATCAGTATTACTGCTCCACTTAAAGTGAATCATTTAATGCACTAACAGTTTAATAAAAGCAATAAGTCCTGTGAAGATATGGTCTTCAGTGAATTTATAACAGATAAAGATTTTGAAAATAACAGATAAAGGTTTAGCCCCTTAACT